ATCAGAATGAAGAGCAGAGCCATGACATTATATCAGAATTCATCTGCAAATCAAATACATTCAAAATATGCTTTCTGTATAAGGAACCACTCACTGTTCTGTTCATACTCAGTATACTTTGTTCTTGTTCCTTTATAAACACTTCTTTGAAGTGTTGCACTGCAGAGACACTACTGTTTTCCTTATTTCCTTCATTTTTCAGAAAAAAGTTATTTTCAGTTTGTCTTAGAGCAGAAGAGAAAACACGTTGGAGAAATTCTGTTTCTTTTACTAAAGTCAGTCCAAGCTGTTCAGCAAGTAGATCCTTATTTCCTAACTTCAGTGATTTTATCTTGCAAGTTGGTGGTAGCAACCCAGTGAAGGCATGAAGACACTGGAGCAAGGCAAGTTGATGTCTGTGAAATAGATGAACAAGTCAGTTGTCACTACGTATTCAATGAACTAATGGAAAGGTTTATATGGAAAACAAAATTCTTCATGGCAAAGAAACATATTTCTGCTTAAGCTGAAAAATAAATATTATCTTAAGAATAAATGCCAAGTATCAAAACAATGTTGAAAAGGCCTCAGTAGCAGTTATACTGACTTCTAACATTTGTACATCAGAAACATGCACAATTCAGAGGCAGCAATATGTACCACGTTCTCCTGATTCCCTTTGCTTGTTCTTCATTCCGTTTTTGTAAGATTTACTTGACATTTACTTCTTACCTGTTTCTTAGCAGCACAATGACAATGAAGAGAATACTGCTGTTCCAAAACATTGCATAATAAACATTTTAAAGGTTGATATTGATGTCAATTCTGAAAAAAAAATCTTAAAGTACCTTTTTCAAGTTCCTCTTAACATTATCATATATTGTATTAAGTCCGTAGTTAGGTTTTTTATGGCATCCTATGTAGACTATTTAAGTTTCTTTAAGAAACAAACAAATCACTTGCTTATCTAGCATATGCCAGGGGGACTAATCAAAAATGGTCTTTTAGGAGTCCTCTGCCAGCAACGATTATGACTATTACCTCTACAAAACAACTCAGTACTGTTGTAATACTCTCTAAGAAGCTAGCAAAGTCTTTTTCAACTTTTCAATGGCTACTACCTGCAGAATATTGTTAAAAATCCTTCAAATGGTGTTTTTAGATTCCACTTGAAAAGAGTGCCATTCAGATTTCCAGATTTCCAGCAGATCATATAATCAGGATATTCCTTGATTGGTGCACACTCCATTTGTTCCAATAGCCACTTGTTTACTGGAAGCAATGTGCAGTCAGGGGAGATTATTTGAAAAGACGATTTGTGTGATATTGCACAGAGTGCAAAAAGGTCTTGTGTAAAACCTGCAACATCGAAAAAAAAGTAAAGAAGTTAAGGAGTGCAATATATTTAAAATCCATATCTACTTAGTTTTGTTTTAAAAATGTATTTATTTATTAAGTTTATATACCATTTCAAACATGACAAACTTTAAGCGGTGTACAAAAATACACAACAATATATAGTAATGTGGTAACCTTATACACTACAATGAAAGTATCTAATAAAATAGCAAGTCCCCTGCATTACACTATTTTTTGTATAGGAAACCATATTATTTTTGATGTTTAAAATGGTGGGGCCAGAAGTGAAGAAATTATTTAAATCTAATGAAATATACTTTGTGATAAGATATATATTGTAATATTGCTTGCTTGCATCTTCCATATCATTTTTAGAATCAACAAAGAACATCTGGGGGTTGCTTCAGAATTATGAAGTTAACTTGCAATAGGCAAGCAAACTCTAAACTTTCTTCCAGAAGCCCTATAAGAACTGTGTAATGGGGGAGGGAAGAAGGGTTGAAACATGATACAGTGATGGGTAGAAAAGTAGGTGTTGTCTTATTTATATTTAAGCAAGGTGTTATTCTAAAGATTTTTTAAAAAAAAATAAAGATAGTTTTGAAACAAAATGCTGAATATTTGGCATTCAGTTCATGATTAGGACTATAACATACAGACAATATTATATACATAAAACCCTAAAAGGAATCTTATTTTGAAAAACAAGAAAAAATACAAAGCTTCATTCTTGATTTAATAGGCACATACAAAGATATTTCTTATAGCCAACATATATTTACCTGGATATTTATACTCTTTCAAATTTATTGAATGCTTTCCAGTAGAAATCTCTACCAGACTTAGTAAAATATCTCCACATAGCAAAGTCAAACTTTTGCTTTTCTGCCAGTTTTCACTGTCACCACTCTTCTTCTTCTTTGCATGAAGCAGCACCACACAAGTTATTTCCTGCCATGCCAAGAAAGGAGACAAGCAGGTAACTGCAGTAAAGGCTTTTGCCTTGTTCCGCTTCACCTGAGAATCTCCTCCATTGCACTTGTCTTCTTCATCAGGGCAACCTAACTTGATTCTTTTAGGCAATGGTTCCAAGGGCCAATATGACAAAGGCTCTGCCTGCATCACTTTCTTCACTGTAACTACTTTGCAGTGGCATTTTGTTGGAGAAAGTGAATGGCGCTTCTGGCCCATTATCAGAGATAAACTGGTATCACTGAGTTGCCTGCTTCAAAACACAAGAACATGATGAAGACAAAGGTATGTATAGATTCCGCATTTGTAGTGTGTAATATGCTCTTGTGTATTTGTATTTATAATTCATGATTGCTTTGTATCAACTTTATATTAAATACTACGTAAACAAATAAACCATAAGATATGTATCTTGTTACATTTTGTCTTGGCACATTTTTAGATTTCTGTATATCTATATTTTTTTATTTTGGAATTGAGGCTTTAACCATATAAATGCTGCTGGTGACATATGCTCAGTACTATGTGATTACACAGAATTTAAACTACTCACAAGTCAAATGTTTCCATGACTTGAACTCCAACTATTAACTGGTCATCCACCACACGATACCAAACCTCTTTTACGATTTGTTCTTGATCTTCAGTTGGAGCTGATGTATCATTATGAAATGCTTCCTCTGTTTCATCCCAAAGAGAAACCAGATTTTCCTTAGATGGAAAGATAAACATTTTTTAAAGATAAAGCCAAATAGCTTGTTATAAAATGAGAATTTGTTATTGCTACAGATTAGACAATGGAAATCAACATGCATTTTAACTATTGAGTTAACTATATATTACAAAATTACCACTGTATGCTGCTACACATTTACAATAGAAACATGAGATTTTAAATCATCCTCATCAAGTATGTATATTCATTATGATTTTTTGCCCCTCAGTTTCAAATTGCGCAAACTGCACTGTACAAGTGTCCAGGTGATATGATTCCATATAAACTATTGAAAAGTTATCATTATCCTTAATATTAAAAATATATGTATTATTGGCAGGCAGAACATTGGTCTCCAAACACTATAGTAACAAATTTTTTGACCTGCATTCTGTTAAAAATTAATCACATTACTTGTTAAACTGGACCATTATTTTTTGCTTCTGTTATTAGAAATGGCAAATTCTGTACCAATGTAATAGGACAAAAATTCACACATCGCTTTTAACTTTCCTGCGAAATACCTTTTTGACCCTGGGAAATCTTTGTTTTCGATCTTGAACAAGATCTAATAATGCATGACAGCTTTCCATCAGAACTCTTTCTTTGAGTTGTAAATGTTGTTGAAGTGCTCGAACAGATGCAAAACCAGCCTATATAAGTGAACAGAGGCTTTGTGATGATACAGTTGTAAGCATTATAGCAAGTGTTTCCTTCCTAAAAAATGCTAAAGATCCAATATGAAGTATTTTACTCATATGGTTTAAAAATTACTTAGCTTAGAAATCTGGCTTCGAGACTTCCAGAAATGTTATATCTCTGAACTCAAGTGAAATAATTTATTTTTAGTCATAACCGTGAATAGTTGCCATTAATGTGTTCTGCCTGTAATGACATCTACAAAGTAAATGGACTGGAAACATTTAATAATGCAAGTTTCATTAAATAAAACAAAATGTAGGTTGCCAAGAGAAAGATGCTAGACACAAACCTGTAATCGGGCTTCAAGTGCTTTGATAGTAAGAAGGCGATTCTCTTGTACCTCTTCAGCAGAGGACAATTCATTTTCATAGTTTATGTTACTCTAAGAAGAAGCAATACACATACTAATTCTGTGCCAAACTAAATATCAAAGGCTTATAAAACACTCTATGAAACATAGAATATCACAAGAATCCAAACGTAAGCTTAAGATCTTTCTACAGTGAAACTGAAGCTAAGAGTACCCCCCTGGTCAGACAGAAGAGGAGACTGACTGACTGACAGAAAATTCTTTATGTGTATCCCTGTATATTATAGAGTAGACGACCAAAAACAAACAAAAAACAACAAAAAAAAGCCGACACCAGATGTAGCTTATACACGCACGCACAAACATATATACACACTCCCTCTTAAAAAAATGCTGCATGTAGTTTGAGTCTGATTTTTGACACAACATAGATTAGATGGGGGGACCACAATTTTTTAAAAAATATTCTAAAGATGCCAATTTAACCACTAAGACCATATAGTAATTTACAAGCTTGAAAATGAGACGTGCACAGTGGCCAAGTCCGATCAGAATGCTAAATCATATAAAAATAAGTACAGCGTGTCTTGGGCTTATGTGTTTCCATCTCTATATCTGCATCAAACAAATTCAGTGCTACCTTTTAGAAAAAAACACAGCTTAGTATGTCATTTCAAACCCTATAGTTAATCCTTACAACTAGGTGAGATAAGCCATAAGTCACATGCATAAATTACGGACTTAACCTTATGCTATTCAATAAGCAATAGTTAAGACTGAACCCAGACTATGTTTATATACTGTACCATGCCATGATGTGTTTTGTTAGTTTTGACTTAACTTGCGTGATTCCTCCCATTGTAGTTTATTACCATGGTTTATTATTACTGAAGTAATACAAGAACCTGAAATTAAACACAAATGGAAGCTCTGAACTGCTTGTAGTTGTACTAGAGATGGAGACGGAAATGTGTAAGCCCTAAAGCTTAGAGGAATGTTGTACTGGAATAATAAACCATGTCAAGCCTTATAGAGGAAAATTTTTGTCTGCTTTCTAACTAATGAAGTTGTTCAAAGTTTTGATTTGTAAGATATTGACATGACTGGACCAAATTCAGTAATTTGAATCAAAATGTTCAGTGAAACCCTGTATTTAATGAATGCTACAATCTGTACTGGAATATAAACAAAGGATTGCATTAAATATTAAAGCAATAATCTGCCTACTCCCTTTTAAAATAAACCTTTCCCAATGATTTGTAGCACACCTTACCTCATAATTAATCTTTCCAAAATCTGTTATTTGAAATGCCTTCAGTGTTTCTGAAATAGAGTCACTCTTTAGAAAAATTAAGATTTGTTCAGTTCCAATACCAGCAAAATCATCTACCAGAACAGATTTCACATTTTTCCAGCAAGAAGCTACCTAGAACATAAATTAGAATTGTAATGTTGTTTTTTTTCATAATTTATATACATACAATACATGATTAAAATGTATACGGGAGCATATGTGCAATTTTTGCAGTGATGTTATTTGCATTTATTAAAATTTAGTTGTACTTACTGAAAAGGCAGCTTAAGATACATCTTATAACAACTACAAGATCACTCTGCACAAGAATAATTTTACTGAAAATTGCTGTTATAATGGCATTTTACAAGGAACACGTTCTATAAATCCAAGATTGAACACAAGCATTTTACAATCCACTATGCACTGACTGTGAATATTGTATTTAATTTAAAATTGTTTTTAAAATATGATCCTTCCCATGGTTTACATTCCAAATCTAATCAAAATAAAAGTACCTTGTTTTATAAATTCATTTAGAATTTCATTTAAACCAGGAATAACCTGGGCTTAACCCCAGTATATATATTTTAATGACAGTTTGCAGCTTTAAGACAAATTATTTCTTATCTGTGAGCTTGTACAGAGAACATCGCCAATAAAAAAATATCTCTAGCCGGAATAGATATAGAATAAAGAGTACGGATTTAAGGAGGACACACAGTGGATATAAAATTAAAAGGAGTGAATCAATTACATTGTGGCCATTGTGAAATTATATCACTCATTTTAGAAGTTGTGCTTTATTTCTACAAGGAACAAGAAAACCTTTGTGTGTCAGAATTTCATAATGGACATTAAGTTTCTCTGTAAACAAAGGCTGTCCTGTATCATAACTGCAGGGGAAGTTTTTGTTTGATTGAATGTTTGACAGTTAAACAAAAGAACAATATGAATTCTGGACTGGAATAACTCGACATGTAACATATTATGAAACTGATGAGCTAGAATCTCCACAATTCTAATAAAAATTGTTTTAGAACATCAGTTCAATACCTGTAAGTTATGTTTCCATATAGCACATACGTCTCCGGAAGCAAATGGCACAATCACCAACTGGCGATCTCCATCCACTGCAGCTATTTGGACTGACAAAGGATTTTCGTATGGAAGCTGCAGAACTTCTTTAGGCCAACCATCTTGAAAGAAAATCAACTGGCCTTTGCAGGTAACTGCAATGAGTGACGTCTTAAACTTGCTTCTTCTTACCTCAGCTTTGCAAACATACATACAATGCACTACACTGCCATAAGCGTGAGGCAAAAAATTAGCATTCAGTAGCACTTTTTGTTTGTCTACCCCATATGCAAAACACTCACATCCCCAGATGGTCAAGTCTGACGTTGCATTACTCTGCTTATTGCCTCCTTCTGGAAAACAAGTAGCTCTAGTTCCCAAAACAACAGCACCCTGACCCTCAACCTGACCAGCCCACTGGACAGAAGAAAACTGAATTGGGGCACATAAAACAGTGCCAGTTTGGGGAGAAATATGTAACAGGTGTCTTTCATTATACCATATTATGGTTGGACCAGCCAATAATTTTACAGGTTCTTTGATTGCATAGTCTAGTTTAAAGTGCAGCACCAGTTCAAATTTGCTAAAGGTATGAAGCAACAATAACATATATTTAATTTTTTTCTTTTCCTTCTTTTTCAAGAGAATGCAAGGATGAAGAATTCCAGTTCTGAAGTCAGATGCATTACTGCAGTGAATAATTTCAATACCTTCCCCATATATGCAAAATGATCCGGTAGACATCTCATTAAACAATTTAGTGCCATTGTCAAATGACATTCTTTTAACATGCAATGTAGTAATTATGGTATCATCACTCTGTGAGTTCTTCCCTTTTGATAGTTGGAAAAGAAGGAGTTCCCCATTATAAGACAACAGTTTTTCTCGGTGATCCACTGACATATTTTTTTCCTTAAATAAATTCCATAGCATAAAGATTGGGGTTTCCCTGAATTCCACTACAAGGATTCTTCTGTAATATTTGATCCAAAGAGTATTTTTTCAATCTGAAAAATGTTTACAAGAGTTTTGTTAATACTGCAATTGACACAGTAATATGAATTTATAATTTAAAAAATGTAGTATAACAAATTCTGAAGAAAAAAAGACCTTTCAGCCTAATCCTAACATGGTTGTTCAAAAGAGAACATGATATGAGGGACTTTTAACTCCTCCATTAGAGTAAGAAAGAGTAAAACCAGAGAGGCATACTTTTTCAAAACAAAATCATCAAAATGTTTCATACTAAAATCCTTTGCCGCTATACTTCAGTGGGATTTATTATAACAGACTTCTAAAATAAGAAACAGTTCCAAAGATAATCAGAAAAATTTTGGCTGAACTAGGGCAGAACACAATGAAGTTTACATAAATATAAACAAATGTTATTTATAAGAACTCCAAAATATTGTAAATATATGGAATCCCATCTCTGTTCCCATAAAATAATAACACAACTGTCCACATTATGGATAAAAATGGATGCCATAATTATGGAGAAGAGTGTCTAAATAAATATTTATTATAGTGAACCCAGAAATCTCAGTAAAACAGATAATGAAACAGTATAAGCAACAGGACTAAGATGGGCAGTCCACTCTTCCTGAGTTCAACATGAAATAGAACAAACTTCTGTAATACCATATTTGAGGAAATAAATCATTCTGGTTAAATAGTAATAAATGAAGAAAAATTAGAGTGACCTAAAAAATTAACTTACAGGGAATTATAAAACATGCATGAATATTGTTACAGAAGGTACAGTATAAAAGAATAAGCTATTCAGTCAATAATATCCTCACCATATGGACACAGTGAGATTGCATATGGAATTTTCTTGAATTTTTTTTCAAGAATAGTTGTAACCCATTAAAAGTGCTGATATTATAGTTTCTATATTTTGATACCTCTGAGTTGATTTAAGACTGACTCCTGCAAAATACATCTTCCATGTTCATAACCTCTTGTTTAAACGCAAGCTTAATCTGCTCAAAGGCCGTTGTTAATAAAGCTGAACAATTGTAATAGTGCAGCTGTGCCAAAGAGATATTTTTCTATCTTGCCAATTAATTGGGTTAATTGCAGGGATAGTCCTAGAGGAAAAAAAAAAACTTTAATCATTAAGCAAAGATGCTTATCCATAACGCCATCTCTACTTTGGTTACACTTGCATTCCAAGAGAGGACCACAATGGATAGATACCCAATGCTATTTAGTCATGATTTCCAAGTAATTTATATTCCAATAGTACAAATCTGCTAAATGGCTCCAATTGTGGATCATACTGGAGCTGTGTCAAAATGAAATGATTTTATTGCCATGGGGAGGAAGGGAAGGACTGTGTGATTAAAGCCAATTTCTGGACATTTTGCAGAATATGATTCAAGTGGACACTCAGCTCACTAGAATCTTGAAAAACAACACCCAAATATTTAAAGAGTTTAACCTGTTCTAGTTCATGGCTTTTTAACAGTCAATTTTCTGGGCAATTAAGCAAAAAGAAAAGTCTTAGCATCACTGATCTCTAGAGCACTGTTTCCCAATCATAGCAATGTCCAGGTGTGTGGACTTTAACTCCCACAATTCCAGAGTCAGCATGGTCATTGATGAGAATTCTGGGAGTTGACGTTCACATACCTGGAAGTGGGCAAGGTTGGGACATCCTGCTCTACAACTTCCTCCTTACAACATCACACCACAGAATGTAACACTCTTCCAAGCCAACTGGAGTTTAAGATAAGGTAACACTGTCCATATGAAGTATAATAATATGCTTATTTGCCAGCTTCAGGAGATTATAGATCAAATTGGTTGGAGACCAGGAAAAATCCCTATTTTCTGGGGGGGAGGGGGTTGTTTGTTTTTTTAGTTCTCAGCTCTAAAGAAAGAAAAACTTGCATCAAGACTCAGTGGACTTAAGTCACAGACTCCATTTTAATTAAGTCTGTGCTTCAACTTGCTTTTTCCTCGTGGACTGAGAGCCTGCTTTAAGATTTCATACTAGACTGTGATACCTAAATCCTCGATTCCATGACAAGCTGGCGAGCGCTACTTTGGGCATCATCCTCTTGACAACCCAGGCTACAAATGGTTCTACCCCCCCCCACTCCATTTCCTGTGCTTAGGATCTGGATCCCATCTTCCCAGTCGGAGGTTCGGGCGCGCAGAATGGAGCAGGGCAAGGAAGTACAAATGTTTATTAAAACATACCGTGCAATTACTTTTACACCAGAAGGCATCCACCGCCCCTTTCATATGCAGTGTAGCAAGCACGCCTAAAAATAAGACAGAAACAGAACAGCGCCACTCCAACCTTCTCTTCCCGCGCCCAACACCGCTCTGCCTGGCTCCAAAGAGCCCGCCACGAAAGGCATTATGGGGGCGGTTTGACGCCGCCTGATTCTGGCTGGGTCGCGTTTCGCAATGAGCAGAGCGTCACCGGGCGGGGCGCAACTCCCTGAGGAGACACCAACGCCGCCAATTAGCAGGCAGCGGAATTGCGCAAGGAAAGGGGTGGGCGCTCTTTAAAAGGACACGGAAGTAGAGGGTGGGAACCTTCTTCTCTGCTTTTTTTGTTTTGTTTAGAGGAAGGCCGGGGATTGGTTGGCAACAACGCCTGTTGTGTAGCGGTTCTCGGCGAAGGTGGTGCCCGGCGCCGGCTGGTGTCAATTCTTACTTCAGTCTGGTCACGCGCCCTTTTCCTTCGATTGGTGCGTTTCTTCCCTTTTCTCGCTTGCCTTGCTGCGGCTTCTAGTCTGGTGTGAGCAGGATCATGGCGGATGTGAGTAGCTGCGCGCCCTTGAGGGTGGATAGTCTGGAAAACAGACCACGAGAGAGAGAGAGAACAGTCTCCGTATTTTTCCCTCCCCAGGAGAGGGGGAGGCAATGAGCTCCTTTGGGGGGCAGGATCTGGAGCAGAAAGGCAGGATATAAATACATAAAATTAAATTAAAACATAGCGGAGTAAGTTCCCATGCCAGATGTCTCGGGTGAGGGGAGAGCATCCTCTTCTTTTGACGGTATAGTAAGGCAGATCTCCAGAGAAGATAATTTAGTCCATCTTTCCGCAGACTGTGTTGGATAACAGCTCTTCCTTCCACAACCTGTGACATACTGGTTGGCAATAATTCTAATTGTCCACTGATCTATAGAGAGGCCCTTAAGTAGAGACAGCTGACTAGTCTAACCCTGGGACACTGCTGCAGAATGTGCCCCCTTCCTTTCCCAGATGTGCTTAAAAAGTTACCTCGGTCTTGTAAAGAATGGTGGGCCCCAGGTGTTCCTTTCCGAGAACGTCAACCGGAGAAAGACCTCTGACTTTTAAGCAGAGATTCAAACTTACTTATGGAAGGATTGTATTCGGACCTCACCTTACAGAACCCAGTTTTGCAAGCTAGACTACCTCTATGTCACCTGCCCTAATTGCTGGGAAAGGATCTTTTCAGAGCTCAGTGAACAGCCTCTGCTCATTTAGAAGGTGATGATGTAAGATTTATATATTCATTTCAACTGCTTTCTATTTGATTAAAGCAACATGGTAATTTTTCAGCACATGCTATCATTTTGATCTTTGATACTTAGCAAATTCCTTCATGGACAAGTGGAAAGAAAAGTTATTTTTTTTCATTATTGATTGTGTCCCTAAGGGTTTGCTATAGGAAAACATTTTCCATTATACTTGATGATACATATAATCATACTTTTTGATGCACCCACTCTTTTAATGAGTTGGGCAAGGATGAGTGATCTCTGAATGATTTGTAATAGTCCTGTCCTCTAGAACTTGTAGATCCTGAGTAGTAACAACAGTAGAATGACTATTAAATGAAGAAACCTGGAATAACCAATCAACTTTCCTGTGGATGGAATGGTTATAACAGAACATGTTCCTGAGCTCTCTGTGTTAGAAACACTGCTTACCTAACTCTTATTACTGGAACTTGGAAATTCTAGTAGAAAACCAAAGTAGGCTGAAGAAATGTGAAGTGTGTTCAACCTAAAAATAGAAATGTTCAAAATAATATCTTATGCCAATGATTTTTCATGTTCTTTCTCATTCAACAGGGTAACAGAGGCCCATTAATAAGTGAAATCAGACAGCGTTTTGAAACAGAATATATATCAGGTTGGTAGTATGAATATTCTGTTCATACACTATAGTTTATCCTGTACATTTAACATTACAAAGTTTCTGTAATAGCAAAGATAAAAAAAAAAGATTACTAACAAGAAATACATCTCTTAAAAGAAGATTGAATCTTTGTACTTGGATTTCTTTATATTTGAACTCTGTGACTACTAAAGGCCAAACAATTATGTGAATGTCTAAAGTTTTAAATTTGAAAATCCTCATGGTTAAGGAGACTATTTAAGTGGTAAACATTTGGTTTCACTTGTCTCGTAGTACACTCCCATTTTAATATGTTTACTACAATGATCTGCCCATTATATACATTGCTGCTCCTTGAATCAGCTTCATTTGCTTTCATACTTATGATACTGCTTCTGTTATGATAATCTAAAGATAAGAGATGTGGAGTAAAGAAGTCCCACCAACTTTCCCCATGTATATACAATTACAATTAAAAAATATATTGCACACTGGTTGTGGTTTCAAACCACACCATTCTATGGTAAATTTAACCTTTTCATATTGAATTAATCCTCTTGCCTAGGTTTTCACAGCATACGGGTTCTCACAACTCCCTGAACCAATACTAGTCTAACGTTGTGTGAAATCAGGCTTATTCAGTTTCTATTAAGTAATAGAAAGGTTCTTGCAAAGTTTTAGAGAAGATGAATTGAAGTTCTTTGATAAAGAAAATGGAGAATCATGTGGATAACCAAACTTAGAAAGTTCTATGCTTAATTAAAAATAATACTTTCCAGTTCAGTTGTATAGCTCTCCTAATAGCAGAAAGACTAGGCTATTCATTTCCTTCTTGCTCAAATATGATTTTGAAAAAGTATTTCCTGTGAAGGCATTTAGGGTTTAGATGTTTAAGAACTTGAAAATTGGTTAGAATTCATTTGCAATTTTCTTTTTTATTAAAACCTTAAGTCAGGGGAAAGTATAGCTATTTTGTCTTATCATTTTATAAATATAACTTGCTGCAGATACTTTTTCAAATTCTTCCTTTTAAAATATTTAGCAAATGTTTGCTAAAAATAGTTCTTTATGATGGTTTTTATGACAAGATATGTTTAATAATAATTTCTATTCATATTGATCAGCAAAAAAAGATAAATATGATTCCAGGGATATAGAAAGATTACATCAAGATGATACCTGGGTTGATAATTTCTTAATATGGCGAGATGATATTGTGGATGATACATTGAAGATGATTGATGAAAGCTTTCAGTGGAGAAAAGAGTACGCAGTTCATGGTAAGATATCTATTATCTGTTTGAAAAAAGGTTTGTTATATATTTGTATTTGTGTGATATGCATCTGATTTAAAAAAAAAAGTAAGAAACAGCTAAAAGTAATTGTTGCCAGAGGAAATTGTATTCTAAACTGAAAAAAATGAAACTAAGAATATCGAGGCTGAGTATAAACATATGTATACTGTATGTTTATACAGGTAGTCCTCAGGTTACAACCATTTGTTTAGCAACCATTCAAAGTTACAATGGCACTGAACAAATGGTACTCACTACACGTCCTCATACTTCCAATCGTCGCAGTGTCCCGGTGGTCATATGATTCCAATTTCCAGTGTTCCCTGCAGGTTTCCCACAAGTAAAGTCAATGGGGAAGCTAGCAGGAAGCTTGCTGAATGACCTGTGTGGTCCTAATTTAACAACAGCAACTGGGACTGCCAGAATTGCTGTCGCTAAGCGATGTGGTCATGTCACATCATGGTTTACAACCACATCACAGCGATGAAAATTCCAGTCCAATTGTTGCTGTAACCTGAGTACTACCTGTAGTTATATAATAACTATGTTTATATAATAAGTGTGCTTATTGTGAATATAATAATATAGACATTTTGGTGTCATAAATGAAGGAGTTAAATGCATCAACTAAAATTCTGTGATCAAAGATTCTTAATATTTCTGGTTGATTTGTTTTCAGTCCTCAATTGGATGGATGGATGGATGGATGGATGGATGGATGGATGGATGGATGGATACTTCATTCATCTCTTCATGCAGTGTCCAAGAATCAAGCCATGAACTGTGCTTGCAGATTCGCAGTGCTGTTGCCTTTTTCCCTCACTGTCAAGGGTTCTGCAGCTATTACATGAGAATAAGAATAATTATATAGTTAACTTTATGCTAATATTTTGAACTCCATTTTAGATTTTAAAATTTGTGTCTAAAGTTGGCATTACCTTTTATAAAGCAACTACTACTCATTTGTCTAAAATGTAGTGATTGGAAACAATAACTTTTCTCTGGATTAAAAAAGTAACACTTTTATCCTCCCTTTTTATTTAATATTTTAGAATGCTGTTACAGTATGTGGTATACTAAAAATAATTATAATAATAATAAAACAAGACTGTTTTCTTCAGATTTGACTGAATCTTCTTTTCCAAAATCGATGTTTGATGTTGGTGCTGTTTACCTACATGGTTATGATAAGGAGGGCTATAAAATATGTAAGTCAAATTCTCAATTTCATTTACTTATTCATTAATGTAAATGCAGTCATACTTTCAGAATGAAAATATTAAAGTAATACAGGGATTGATTATTGATATAAAGTCATTGAAATCAGTGGCATTTGTGGTGGTGGTGTCTAACAAATACCATTAATTTCTATAGTTCTGATATGTTTAAAATTGCTTATAATAACTGGCACCTATATTTAAGAGAAATAATGAAATCTTTATATATCTCAAGTAACATAAAGCAATTGCTTCTTGTTTTTATTTTAACAGGTATAAATTATAAATAGAGCTTTAACTACTATTTAATTTAGAGGTGATATGTTCACTATAATATAACATCAGATTTCATTTGAAATTTGAAAGTGCTAATGGTTTTCTTCCTATTGTATCTAGTTCAGG